CCTCTCTCTCTCCCTCTCTCTCTCTCCTCTCTCTCCTTCTACCATTCCCACCTCTCTCTCTCCCTCTCTCTTACACATTCTCTCTATCCCTCACAGTTCGGGAACCTAGGACCACTGGTGTTCAGTCTACTCACCTACCTGTTCCCGTCCACCCAGCTAGAGCAGCCCGCCTCCCTTTGTGTGGTCACTGGCCTGTCCCTGACCGCCCTGCTCTACGCCTTCTTTTGGCGGGAAACGGCACACGTGGCTGGTTCGCTCTACAGGTCTGTCAGTGTCAGTCTCCCTGTCTGCTTTTGTTGGTCTGTTTTGTTTGTGTAAGTTTGTTTGTGTCAGTTATTAATTTATTAATGTAAGTTTGTTTGTTTCAGTTATTAATTTATTAATGTAAGTTTGTTTAAGTCAGTTATTAAATTAATTTATTAATGTAAGTTTCACTTATTAATTCATTAATGTCAGTTTGTTTGTGTCAGTTATTAATTCATTAATGTCAGTTTGTTTGTGTCAGTTATTAATTCATTAATGTAAGTTTGTTTGTGTCAGTTAGTAATTTATTAATGTCAGTTTGTTTATGTCAGTTATTAAATTAATTTATTAATGTAAGTGTCACTTATTAATTCATTAATGTCAATTTATTTGTGTTAGTTATTAATTTATTAATGTAAGTTTGTTTGTGTCAGTTATTAATTCATTAATGTAAGTTTGTTTGTGTCAATTATTAATTTATTAATGTAAGCTTGTTTGTGTCAATTATTAATTTATCAATGTTTTTGTAAGTTTGTTTGTGTCAATTATTAATTTATTAACGTAAGTTTGTTTATTTCAGTTATTAATTAATTTATTAATGTAAGTTTGTTTATTTCAGTTATTAATTAATTTATTAATGTAAGTTTGTTTGTGTGTCCGTATGTTTGTGTACATTTATTTATTTTATGTAAGTTTGGTTGCATGTATATTTTTGTTAGTTTTGTTTTGTTTGTTTCATTTTATTTGTTTGTGTGTGTGTAAAATTTTTGTGTAATTTCGTTTGTGTAAGTTTATTTTTGTGTTTTATAAGCTTATTAAATTTAAGTGTGTTAGTTTGTGGAAGTTTGTTTCGTATTGTATATGTATTTGTTTGTGTAAGATTATTTACGTACCATCAGGCTCTCTCTATTTCACACATGAACAATTACATACACGCAGATACATACACTCACACTCACACACATACCCACATACACACCCGCACATACTTACGCACACACTCACTCACAGACACGAAGAAGAAGAACTCTCTCTCACACACACACACACACACACACATACACACACGCACACACACAAACACACCCCCATTCATACATTAATTTTGAATGATTTACTGATTATTCGATCATCACCTATACCCTCACCCCACCCAACCCCCACCCCTCTTTCACCTT